GTCCCACATCCGGCTCTGCACTGGGCATGGAGCCTGCTTAAGATTCTCTCTCACCCTCCTCCCTCCCATTTGCATGATCTCTCTCTTTTCAAAAACAAAGCAAAACAAAACAAAACAAAATAGTATTTTCTTCATGACCTAGGTATTAAAATTATATATTACATCTGAAAGATCCAATGATAACTAAACAGAAGCTAATAATATTCTAGTGAGGAGAAGCTCTATTGAGCCAAAAAATACTGCACTTTGTAATTACTAAATGAGGAGATGTGCAGTTGTCACCGAAACAAAATCAGATGAAGTCAAACTGTTGATGAAACACTGCATTTGTCTAAAGAGATGTCTATCTAATTAGACAACATTATTCCTCGTCTTCTTCCCATACTGAAAATGGTTCAAAGATGTCTCATAAAAAATGTCTTTCCTCCAATCTTGTCTTACATCTGAATTCCTGGCCTATATGTTATCTTTTGGTCACACAATATATCCAATAAGAACAATGTTTCAATTAGTCTTTGCTGCATAACAAAATACCTCCAAAATTTAGTCTTTAAGCCATCATTTATTAGCTCCTGTTTCTATGGATTGGCAGTTTGGGCTTTGTTCATTTGGATAATTCTTCTGCTGGTCTCATCTGGGATTACTCCTTAGGCTACCATCAGTTTATGGGATGGATAGTCTAGGATAGTCTCACTTCCATGTTTGGTGGTTGGTGCTTGCAGTGTTTGGGCTGGCCATTAGCTAGAGTACAGGGGGTGATTGGGCCATATACTTTCTAAAAAGTATAGCAGTTACTGGCTATCTTCTTTTAAGATTTAAGGTCTAAGTGGCTGAATTTCTAGAGATATTCTGACTCCAACTGACTTTTGTGATTGAAAAGTCACTGTTTGGAGTTTCTGCATCTTCTCAGTCACTGTGATTATAATGGCTGACATTAAATTTCAAAGTGCATGCTGGGGTGAGTGTGGTAAGATGTTTGGAAAGCAACAGGAAACAAAAGAGGTAAGGAAAAGGGAGGAAAAGATAGAGGAATGTCTCTCATTTCTAATAACCATTAATGGAGAGCTACTAATGTACAACACACTTCTAACCTGGTCTCCATCTTTTATGATAGTATTACTTAGGCGTGGAAAAAACAGTATGAGAAAAAAAATATATATTAGAGCCTAGCTTCTTCAATTTAACTGAAAACACAGATGCATTAAATAGTATTAATTCTCATAGTGCTGATTAAAATTTTACAGAAATTAATAGTTACTTTAATATAGCAACTTTCTCAGATCTATGGCAGGGGAAAAGAAACACAGAAAGCTATAGATATGAAAGAAAAAAACAGACTTTCATATGTTGTACCTTATATCAGGCCTATGTATGAATATTTTTGATTGTTCAGTAGTATCAACCAGCTGTATGTTCTTCACATGGATTGGATGCTGTAAATCTTCATTCAAAGGGTTAGTAATGAATACCACATTAGTTTCACCTGAACAAACATTCTTAAATCCAACAAATGTTGAACCTAAAACATAAATAACAGAATGGAGAAAGTGATAAAATCAGTTTCATTTCATGCATATTCCAGCAAATACATCATATAACACCACCTTGAACATAGAGCTCTTAGCTTATATGGTGGACAGTCCACCACTATTCGTGTTAGATTGTTGCCTCCCTACATTAATACCATTGAATAGTCTTCTCATATCTTCTCTGAGCTTAGTTATGTGATTTGGTTTGACCAATGGGACAAGAGCAATTGTGATATAAGCAGATCTGAAAAGTGCTTGCCTATTAGGGCTCACTCTCTCTTGGTGCTCTTGGGGAATTCTGCAACTTCCAGCATGTGAATGAGCTCAGAAGACATATGGCCCCATCACCTCCCTTACTCTAGCTAATGGCCAGCCCAAACACTGGCAAGCACCAACCACTGGACACAGAAGAGAGACTATCCTAGATTATCTATCCCATAAACTGATGGCAGCCTAAGGAATAATCCCAGGTGAGACCAGCAGAAGAACTGTGCAAATGAACAAAGCCCAAACTGTCAATCCGCAGAATCAGGAGCTAATAAATGATGCTTTAAAGACTCTAAATTTTGGAGGTATTTTGTTATGCAGCAAAGACTAATTGAAACATTGGTTCTTTTGGCCTTATTGCATATATTGTGTGACCAAAAGATAAAATTTATTGAATTCAAACTTAATCTCCATTGTAATTAAAATCCAATAACTCAAAAATAGAAAAAAAAAGCAAAAGGTGACTCCAAAATTCTTATATCAGTTATGTAATATCACCACCCTTTCTGGTGAAATTTTTTTCCTAAGATGATATTTTATGTACATCAATATGAGCCTTAGATGAATATTAATAAAATACCACAGTAGCAGACACTGTAACCTGTACAGATCTGCTTTACTGGTCCAGTGCACTGGCCCTCAGCACCCCCCCCCCGTAAATATTGGCTGCCCACTACTCGCACCTGCCCCTTTTTCCAGAGAATTGTCCTTAACCAGATGACAATTCCCTCTCCTAAGAGATTCTGCACTCAATACCACCACCAAAGGGCTACTATGCCTAACCGACAACTGAACAGAAGGTCCCTTTGCCTCAAGAGGAGGCAACTAAACTGCACAGCTCCCTGAGGTATCAAGAAAGAGCTTGACTCTAGCTGAGACGCTATCCTTGCTTAGCTCTGCTCATCCTACTTCCCTCACTCCCTTTCTTGTGAAAACACACCCTTAATAAACCACTTGCACGAGAATCCCATCTCTGGCTTTACTTTTAGACCATCTGATTTAGACAGTGAGTACCAGAAGTGGTCCTAGGATACAGGCTGTAATGATGCAATAATGAATTTAGCTCACTTGCTGTCTGGATGGGAATGAGGATGCCCTTATTGAGGGTACGTGGAATACTGACAGCCCCTTGAAACCCCTAGAAAGCTGTAACAATGAAATTGTAAAGATTTCACTCATGGTATCAGGAAACAAACTGAGGGTTGCAGGAGGAAGGTTAGGGTGATTGGGTTATGGACACTGGGGAGGGTATGTGCTATGGTGAATGCTGTGAATTGCATAAGACTGAAGAGTCACAGACCTGCACCCCTGAAGCAAATAATACATTATGTGTTAATAAAAAAAAAGATTTCTCTCATGGTGGACTGGGATAATATCTAGGTGGAAGGAAGTTCTCTGGCTGGTACAGTAACTTTGGCATTTGAGGGGTAAAGGGGAAACAGTGGTTACAAGAAAACTAAAAGTAGGTGACTATTGACAGTCACTGATGCTCTGAAGAAAGAATCAATCACAAATTCAAGGCAAACCTCAGGATCTGAAAACAAAACCAATATAGTATTTGTAGAAGGTTGAATTCTCAGCCCTGGCAAGTCTCCTACATCAAAGACGGGCTCTGATAGAAAATGAATGGAACCCGAATTAGGATGGGAATATAGGGAACATGAATTTGAGTCTTGAAACCCAGGGTTCCCCTTGAATGTTCCAGATCTGTATAAGTGGTCTGCTTCTCCCTTATTAGAAGAGAGCTTTCCTGCCTCCTTTGTTGAAATCATGACAAGACCTCAAAAGAAAAGGCAAATCTTGCCTTTCTTGGGACCTGTCCCCATCTCCCCTTCTGGAAGACAGAGCAGTCAGTCTGGTCAAGTCTCAACATGGTCTGACCGGGGAAGTGACAAGCCTGCTATGGGATGAGAGGATTGTATACCAAAGGAACTGCAGTAACTAACATGTACTGACAGGAATCAGGAGTATATATATCTGAGAGCAAATTGTGATGGTGTTAGATCAAGGGGGAAAGAATACAAAGCTGAATAAGGGAGAGTATCACTACGGATGGGGGTATTCTCCTGTGCTGTTGTCATGGCTTTTCTAAGTTTGGAAAATATCATGTTCCACTTTATTTTTTTTTTGAAGATTTTTAAAATTTATTTGACAGACAGATCATAAGTAGGCAGAGAGGCAGGCGTGGGGGAGGGGGGTGGAAGCAGGCTCCCTGCTCAGCAGGGAGCCTGATGCGGGGCTCGATCCCAGGACCCTGAGATCATGACCCGAGCTGAAGGCAGAGACTTAACCCACTGAGCCACTCAGGTGCCCCATCATGTTCCACTTTAAATGAAGTAGAATGGTAAGAACTTCCATGGCACACTGTAGGAGAAGGGGTCAAAGTCTCTGAAAAATGAAACATTGGAATGAGTCTATTATATAATGCCAGTGCATTTCAGCCCCACCTGGGGATGGCCTTGGAAGAGAGTGGCATGGGCAGATTCTACTATGGGAAAGAAATTTAGGTAGTACCCAGGGTGACCCACTTTGTGTGAAGAGAGAAGTGGTGTGAGGTAAGGATAAACATAAAAAATGACTTAGCTAATTAGTCAGGGGCCTGGAAAGAACAAAACCGGATGACTGGATAAAATGAAGACTGAGGAAAGCATGTGCTTGGAGTTCTGGGAGTAAACACAGAGGGCATGTTAGTGATTACCAAAGAGTATCAACTATGGAAGAAGCACGAAATAAATAAATGAACAGGTGGACAGAGCCAATAGATGTTACTAGCTCTTGGGTTATATGAATTTAAATTTCTTCAGTTGTAAAAAGAGATAATAATATATAACCCTACTTATATAAAAGGGTTTTTACGATTTATAGAAACTAACATTAAATCATTATACCAGTGTTTCCTCTGCTGTTTTAGAAGAAAAATTAAATGTCACTTCTTTAACATATACAAATTTTGCCAGGGAATTATTCTTGAAATTGACTGATGTTTGATTTCTTGGCTTTCCACATGGAGCAGATTCATATACAGATTCATTTAAATCACGATCTTTTTTTTTACTAATAGTGAAACATTATTAGATATATTCTACATATTCTTTATAGAACTTAACTGAGTAAATTTGTCAAGACTATGTTTAAACTTGCCTGAGATATCCAGAAGGCCACTAATGGCATTGTAACTCATGAGCCCTGCATGGGGTTTCCGGGGTGCCATGTTATGTGCTGAAGCAAAGGTAGGCCAGCAAATCCCACTTCGCCCACCTTTTATAAAAGAAAGAAAGTTAATAAAATTTAAATATGCACTCACATGAACACCAAAATTAAACTTCTAAAATTTTCACCTGATGGAGGTCTAGCACTCCGGTGGGCGGCAGAAAGTTCAATATTGGGATCATCATTAGTTAGGACATCAGAGCAATTAAATCCAGGGCTACTTCCAACAATTAATGAGCTCTATGTAAAAAAAAAATTAAACAGTACAGTTTAAATGATAGCTTTTCCTCAAGGAAAATACAATAATGGATAATACTGAATTCCACCGTAGCAAAACACAACCTTGAAGTCTGAGGAAGGGGTTATTCATAAAGCCAAGATGAAAAGGATGTGACTTTATGCCCTAAGTGGAATGACTAACAAACTGGGAAGGGGAAACTAGGCTGGTAAATTATTATGTATAATGACATGTTATTATACATAATACATATTATACATTATACATATTTCTGTGACAGAAATATGCCCAGGGAACAGCAGGAACAAAAAGAGGAGAGAGTGTCAATATTATCTAAGCTAGTTCAGGAAAGGATTCGTAGAGGAAATGAAAATTTCACTACTTGTGACAAGACTAGGGGGTGGTACACAAAAAGAGGTGAGGGGACCAGGGAGGCGAGGGAGGGATAGAGCACTTCCTGAAAGAATATAATGAGAACAAAGGCAAGGAGGTTTGGACTCACCTGGCTTCGGAGTCAAGGAGATCAATCTTACCAGAACTTCACTGAATTTACCCTTTCTCCTTACTGTGGCTGTATTCATTTCTTACCTTAATCTGCACTGTTTTACTGGAAATTTTGTGAGATACAGAGGCTGGCATGTAAATCATTGAAGAAATGGCCATCCCGTTGTCAACGAGAGTCACATTATAGATATGCACACTCTCTGTAGTCTGTAAAACAACTTGTAGGTTACATAGTGCAAAGTACAATAGTAAAACAAGATAAACAATCACCACCTTGGATCACATTTACCTGAAAATAAATTCCATAATCCCAGCATGTCCAAATGGTAAATCCCTGTATAAGAGAACACCCAGGAAGGCCATCTTGGTTCATATAAATACCATATAAGCCTCCATGGGCTTCATTGTCAAACCACTTTTCCATGGGATTAGATTGACCTTGGAAGGAAACAGGAAAGCAGGGAATTAACATTACAAGTCATGTCTTAGAGCTTTATAAGAAGTATCAGTTAAAGTTAATTTTTTAAATTAAATATATGAATCGTGCAAATTTTCACATGATAATTAAATATTGTTATGGCTCAGCCATTTATGGCTTACTCTACTCAGGATTTAATCTTATCTAATTTGTCCATTGACCAGTAGAATGACTGTATACTCATTTGCAAATTTTGCTTCAGTTGTTAGCACATTTAACTTACTATATCTGATTAAACACGAATTTCATGAGAAAGTGCGTGAAGTTTGGATTCAAAGAAGGCTAACTCTGAAACACAATGGTAGCACCTGCTGTTTATAAAATGCTTCCCCTCCACATCTTTTTGTTGCTGGTGCCTCCTGGTCATCCCATTTTCAAGTCAGGTGTCCCCTCCTCACAAGGCCTTCTCTCACTACCTGATTCAAAGTAGCACCTCGGTTCCTTCACGTGGACATTAAAATGATTTTCATTTGAAATTGTATTATTCCTTATCATGAATTATCCATCTCCTCTCTCCTATTAGAATGCAAGCTGGATGAGAGAAGACACAGTGTCCACCTCCCTCACCAATGTATTCCCAGGGCCTAGCAGGTAATGCAGAGATGGGTGTTCAGTTAACTATCTGTTGAACTGATGTATGTATGACCTTGGAACATGGTTGAACCTTTTAGACCTGTTTCCTCAAATATAAAAAGTTTTTTTTTTAATATTTTATTTATTTATTTGACAGACAGAGATCACAAGTAGGCAGAAAGGCAGGCAGAGAGAGAGGGGGAAGCAGGCTCCAGGGGGAAGGAGGCTCCTTGCGGAGCAGAGAGCCCGATATGGGGCTTGATCCCAGGACCCTGGGATCGAGCCCGATGCAGGGCTTGATCCCGGGACCCTGGGAATCATGACCTGAGCTGAAGGCAGAGGCTTTAACCCACTGAGCCACCCAGGTGCCCACTCAAATATAAAAAGTTTTAATGCCTAATTTAGAGTAGTCTCAAAATGAAATGAAGTAACCCTACGTGAAATGCCTCAATAAATGGAAGCTATACTCATTACTAACATGTAGGAAACCTGAAGTAGATTTTTTATGAAACTTTACTTACGTCCAAATCAGATCAGTGATCTTAATAATTCCCTCCTAATCATGCACCCACTAGAGGGCTCCCAATAAAGAGCAGATCACGCCCTGCAGTTTACTTGGTACCAGCTCTCTTGACCAAGTCTCCTGGTATCTGATTTCCTCCTCTCCTCTATTGAGTTTCCTTTCTTCCTAATACTTTGGGATTGAAATTTCACTTGTCAACTGCCTAGATTCTGTTTTGTTTTCTCCATAAGAAGCTGTTCACATGTCTCTCTCTCGGTTCCACATAGTGTTGCCCCTGGGGCCCCGTGTGAGTCATGGTTCCCTTCCTGGCCTCCCAGACTCCACTTGCCTGGGAGGTTCACTGGATGGGTTGGTGTCCCATTCCAGGAACTTAAACCCACAATTCCTCAGTGTTGTCTCTTATTTCAATTTCTCTAAATCCTAAACTTCCTTGTAAACACTCTCAATTATTTAGGAATATCAATATAGTCAGTGCAATATACATATTAGTAAATATTCATATTCACAGGTCATATTTTGACTTAAAAAATCCAGGACAACACTTCAAAGAAGTTGAAGAAAAATTACATATTTTAAAATCGTAGTCAAAGAAAACTTTTAAGCTCTTGGAAACTAAAATATTCAATAAGAGCATATATCAAGGAATCAGTTAAATTTGTTGGCAGTTGTTTTATTCCTTCCAAAATACATTCCAAAATGTATTTTACACAAGAATAAAATTAGCTTAAGCTCAATAATTTTTGAATTTACAGAAAAATGCTGATTTACAGAATTTACAGATAAAATGCTGATTCAAAGAATCTTAAAAATAACTATACTGAGATAAAAAAAAAACACCCAGCTGTACAAGAGATATAACGTTTTCAGAGAAAATCCCATTTCCTCTGAGTTTCTCAAGAGGTAAACCCTGCAGCTCTATTATTTTATTTTGATCTAATAATGCATTTACCTAGTTGGAAAACCAAAAGGTTATAAAAAGTTATACAATAATAAGTCACCGGTCACCCTGTTGCTGGTTTTTTTGTTTTTACACTTTGTGTCACTTTATATAAACACAAATAACCCTATATATTCCTATTTTCTTTCTTTTCTTCCACAAAACATACCATAAACAAAACAGTATTTTATATATAAGCACATATATTTATACATAGTATACATATACATATACATTTATATATATCATATAGTATGTGTATATATGTACATATATATATCATATAGTATGATATACACCATATCATATATGATATACATATATATGTATATATGATATATATATCATATATACATATATATGTATATATGATATATATATCATATAGTATGATATACATATATATGTATATATGATATATATATCATATAGTATGATATACACCATATCATATATGATATACATATATATCCCGATGCGGGGCTCGATCCCAGGACCCTGGGATCATGACCTGAGCCGAAGGCAGAGGCTTTAACCCACTGAGCCACCCAGGCGCCCCTAGTCCAGCCTTTAAGAGGCAGTAAGTGTCATCCTCAGTTGCCAGTGGACCATGATTACTGAAGTTGGCTCACTCTCCAAAAGGTGTAGCTTAATTTCCTCACTCAGCGAAAGCTTTCAGTTAGAACTTACATCAGAATCTACTGCCTTCACTGAAGGCTGCTGAGAAAACGGCTGTCCTGGTTGAGCTGCCACGGGCTGAGTGATCACAGACAGGGAGGACACAAAGGCCACATGATGAACGGGAAATGCAAACCTTTCAACGGGTTGGGCGGTCACCTGTAAATAAATGGTCATGAGTGATGACGTGGTTTTCACGTGATAAAATACAGTGAGGAGCACATTCATCTTAGCTAGGCTAAGTGTAATATGTAATAATAAGTGTAAAAATATGTTCAATACATGAAGTTAGTTTTATTGCAATATTCCCTCTGATCAAATTCATGAAGCATTCTTATACTCAAAGCAAAGCACATTTTATACAAATAAGTAATTTTTTTAGAAGATAGGCTCCTTTCTCAACTATTTTATCATCTTAGTTATATCTATAAAAAGAAGAGCCAACATTAATTAGGAAGACATGCCCTCTAAATTATTGTATTGAACTATAAAGAGTTAAAAGAAGAAAGAAGCAGCAATGTTTTAAATAGCTAAGATGTATTTTTCTGGTTGCTTTTTCTTACCTTAGTCCAGGCAGAATCACTTGGGCTGGGGATAGGATTGGTAATAGACATGGAAGAGATATTAAATCCAAGGATACTACTGGTTTTTCCTGAAATTACAGCTTTTCCAAGAGACCCAGCGATTTTTTGGAGTTCAGATAACTGCATCCCACCTATGGGGAAATAGTAACATGACATATGGCTTATAAGAATACAAGATTGTGAGTTTTTCATTTTTTTTTCTTTTTCTTTTCTTTCTTTCTTTCTTTTTTTTTTTTGCATGGCTCCACCCACATTCTGGAATTCTGTAGCTTTTGCACCATCCATGAGATCAATATGACAAAATCCTATGAATGAGCTTAGGAAAGTGGAGAACTCAGTAGAATATGTTTCTAAGCTGCAATTAAAGAAAAACCAAAGGTAGATAAAATAGATACAAGAAAAGTGAAAGAAACCATCGTGGAAAAATATACGGCTCTTAATTTAATCCTTTCCCACGCCATCCTTTATTGAGGAGTGAAACACCATCATGCAAGTCTATCACCATGTACCATTTCCTAGAAAGAGAGTTTTAATTTTGGAGCGTAAGGATAATTAGCATCATCGAATTTACACGAGGTATATTAGTAAGTTCTGAAGTTAACACTACATTACGCACAAACTGTTGCTTGCTCTAGACGTTGATGATTTTCAAAGTTAATTTTAACACAACAGGCAGTTTCTTTTGTCTTTGTCTAGCCTGGCAGGCCCTCTTACACTTACTGGCCCCACCATGCTCTGTACCTAGGAAGTAGCACCTCTGTTCATCATACTTATCTGTCAGATCGTGGTACTTTTGCCTGATCCCTTCTTCTGTTTCATTTCTCCTCCGCAACATACAATCAGTTACTAGCTTCTAGAACTCTCTGTCCCCATTGCCTAAATCCTAGTCAAAGCCATCATTTACTAAAACAGCTTTAAAACTAGTTTTCTTACATCTATTCTGTCCTTCTTCCTCTCCATTCTATACATTGTAGTCTGAGTGATCTTTTAAAAAACAACTGTCTCCAGGATCTTTTTGGTGTACTGTACTGAACTTGACAACAGTTCCTGCCTAGTTTTCCAGCACCTTCTATATCCAGAGTCCTGCCTTGAGGACTCTGAGCATTGTGTCTCCTCCATTAAGGCTAAACCGTGAAGCTCAGGGTGCTCAGGAAGGAGGAGGCCGTTGATCTCACATAACACTTTGAAAATCATGGTCTCAGGGAATTTCAGTCCCGTCAGTTCAACATGTCTCTTTTGGTTGACTCAGACCCTCTGGATAAATGATTAGTCTTTCAGATTTATTCTTCTCTGCCCCAGTCCTTCCTTCTATTCTTCTCCAAATGGCTTCCCAGGTATGAGGGCTCATGTGATCAGTCACAGGTACAAAGGGGCCTCATAGCCCCTGAC